ATACCAAGTGATTTCATTAGAAGAGAATATTTATACTCATCTTTGAACTGTGGGGTTGTTGGTGCTCTCTGATCATGGTTGTTTTCTTGCAGATGTTTCGTTACCCAACTAGGTAACATCATCAGTGCTGGAAGGGAGTGACGTTTGGTGTTTGTTTATATACTGGTAGCTTAACCTACATCAGCATTGGTGGAAATGGTCTCGATGGTGCCTTGATTAGGCTGCGGTCTACTCATTGTTTGTCTGAGTTGGTAGTTCCGTGACGGGGATATTGTAGTAAACAATATATAAGCAGTGAGTAAAATCAAGCTAAAAAAAATTCCAGGCTTTGGGGTCCAACTGGCAATCAAGATGCATCCAAGAAGAAAGGAAAGACGCATATTCAAAGGACCGTCTGATCCCGCTCACATTTACCTGACCCGCCAGAATGGAGAGGCCAAAAACGTTACAGCTCTCCTCTCTTAAGGACGTCCATCTAGCAGGACCAAGGAGAAGGGCCTTCCTAGCGGTGGCTCCCTCCCTGTGAAGCATCTTCCCTAAGAAGGGATAAGATTGGCCCTCATTTCGACACTATTTTTGAAGGCCTTGTAGACCTGCTTTTGCCAATGAGATTGGGGACCCCAGACTGGGATGGAACCAGTGGTGAGATTCAAAACATTTTTACTGCCGGTTAGGTGGGTGTGGCTTGGTGGGCATGGCAGGGGAAGGTTACTGCAAAATCCCCATTCCCATCCCACTAACCTGCTTTCCAGCTCCGTTCTCCTGTGCAGGGTAACCAAAGGAAACCCAGCCGATCAGCTAGGACTCGATGGGAGGCAGAGAATAGATAGGGGCGGGGCCAGTCAGAGGTGGGATTGGCCGGTTTCTCTGGACTACTCAAAATTTCTGCTACCGGTTCTCCAGAAACTTCCTTAGAATGAGGACAATTTAACCAGTGGAACAGCTAGCCACCAGAAGTTGTAAGTGCTTTATCGCTGGAGGCCTTTAAGAAGTGAATGGACTGCCACTTGTCTGAAATAGTATAGGGTGTCCTGCTTGAGCAGGGGCGGGCTAGACTAGAAGACCTCCAAGGTCCCTTCCATCTGTGTTCTGAATTGGACCATTTTTAATCCTCATCCTTATCATTTGAGTGTTATCAGCAGGAAGGATGTGGAATTATTGCTCGGAGTCACTGTGAGTGACTTGGCTGCAGGGGTGCGATTTTACCGGTTCAGACCGGTTCAGGTGAACCGGTTATTCCAAAGATCAGCTGGGAGCAAACTGGTTTGCTCCGATGATCAGCTATTGGGCCCATCGGCCTGCCCCAGTTCTGGTCTGTGCTTTATTTCTGGATTTTCCAGCTCGGCTGATTTACACGGCACCACAAATTGCCACCCGTCAGCTGTTTTACACACAGTTGTAAGCAGCAGACGGTGAGTTGCAAACTTGAATCCCACTCCTGCTTGGCGGACATATAAATTGTCTTAGATAAATATGTTCCGTGCTTGAGTTAAGAAATTGTGCACAGATTTGGGAACCGGGAGATTAGTTCGACTCAGGGGTCGCTCGTGCAGTTTAGGACATGCCAGAATTTCGCCAGGATATTGTAGAAAATATTCAGAACAGACGCCTCGGTATCTTTTTACACCTAACACATCCGGCTTGTTGCTCCAACCAATTAGTTTGCTTCCTATGGTGCGAAGGACACCCATGAGTCCTTGCTGTGCAGGGGGTGTTTTTTTGGGGTGAGATCCGGAGACGTAAATTTCAAAACTTTCATTGGTTGGCATTTCATTCCTTCTCTTAATTGCGTGTACGGCTTGACAGATAGGTCATGTTGAGATGTTCAACGCTAAGAGCCGCATCTCTTAATTAAAGTCCAAGTATGCAAATGGACCACTTGCTTGCTTTCCTGCTTCCTGCAAGGGGACCCCAGGGGTTCGTTATTTTGGATTCCGTTTGAGATCGGAGGAGCTTTTCGACTTGCCGTTGGCCGTACTGAGGCCTCGGTTATCCAGATCACTCGAGTTGCTGAGATTTAATTATACACCTTAGTGCAATCCAGATTTATGGGCTGGGTTCCAATTGGCTGAGACTCGAACAAGAATGTAGAGAAGAGCAATGAGGAGGATGAGGGGACTGGAGGCTAAAAATATGAAGAACGGTTGCAAGAACTGGGCCTGGCTAGTCTAGGGAAGAGAAGGACCAGGGGAGACAGGAGAGCAGTCTTCCAATATTTGAGGGGCTGCCACACAGAGGAAGGGGTCAAGCTACTCTCCATAGTACCAGAAGGAAGGACAAGAAGCAATGGATGGAAACTAACCAAGGAGAGAAGCAACCTAGATCTAAGGAGAAATTTACTGACAGTTAGAACAATTAATAAGTGGAATAACTTGCCTCCAGAAGTTGTAAATGCCCCAACACTGGAATTTTTTTAAGAAGAGATTGGACAACCACTTGACTGAAATGGTATAGGGTTTCCTGTTTTAGCACAGGGGGGTGGATTAGAAGATCTTCAAGGTCTCTTCCAACTCTGTTATTCTGCTACACTCCCTGTGGAATCTCTAATTGTTAAAATACTTCAGAGTTGCCTTATAGTTGAAGGGTAATACACCGAAAAGGGAAGGAAATCATTTCTCTTAGGTCTCTTCCTGTAGGCCATGGAATTTCAGCAATTTGTAGGAGAGCGGTGGGAGCTGAGAAGTTGTGAATGCTCCAACACTGGAAGTTTTGAAGAAGACATTGGGCAACCCTTTGCCTGGACCGTTGTAGGGTATCCTGCCTGAGCAGGGGGTTGGACTAGAAGACCTCCAAGTCCCCTCCAACTCTCTTGTTCTATTGTTATTCTGAGTGATGAGAGTTGTAGCCACCTTGTTTGGGAATGAGAAGGTTGAGCATCGTGTCTGCAGGGCACCAACTTGGAAAAGTCTAACCCTACACACTGTGTTATAGTTATACCTTACACAGGTTGGACAAAAAGCAACGGGTGGAAACTAATCAAGGAGAGAAGCAATTTAGGAGAAATTTCCTGACTGTTGGAGCAATTAATCCGTGGAACAACTTGCTTCCAATAGTTACGAATTTTGCAACACTGGAAGTTTTTAAGAAGAGATTGGATAACCATTTGTCTCAAGTGGTGTATGATTCCTGCTTAAGCAGGAGGTTGGACTGGAAGACCTCCAAGGTCCCTTCCAACTCTGTTCTTCTATATTTGTTGCCTCCTTATTTTGGTAAGGTAGGTGTCAAGTTTCCAAGTGATGAAGTCCATTTAAAAAGAAGATATACTAAGCCTAACGAACATGGCTAGACGTATGTCCGTTTCGGGCTTGACAGTAGAAGGTCTACATTAAGCCATATGAAGTTAAGACATGCCCCAAATAAGCTAGGATTGGCTAATTCCATCATCATCATCATCTCCATATACTAAAATTCTGTGGTTTGCAGTCCAAGTACATTTAGACTCAGAGGGTGTCCTATGGGGGAAAGCTGCCTTAAATTGTACCATCTGCATTTCTCTGCCATGTTCTGCAAAAAGTTAAGCTGATGTAACCTGTTGAGGAACAGGTATCAGGCAAGGTTTAGGATAAAAAGGTAAGGAATCAAGCTTATCTCCCAGAGACCTCCCTGTCATTTCCTTGGCGGCAACGTAAACATGGCAACTTCCAGCCAATCTTGGCTGGTTTTGAATCAGACGATCAAGAACGATCTTGAGTGTAGGAGACCAAGCTGAGGCTAGACCAGGAAATGAGGTCTCAGAAGAAGATCATCTCGTATCTCATTGCAAGAGAACAATAGGGACGATGTCTGTGCGTTAAACTGACGGGAAGGAGAGCATTTCTGCATTTTTTCATAATTAAACCATTATTGGAGGCTTGTTCTTTCCTCCAAAGGACTTTGCGATGTCTCAGTACATCCTGGTCTACCTTCTGCATCTTGAAATTGTTGAAATTGGCTGTTGTTGTGACTCCTCGTCGTTCATGGGCCACCCAGTTTTTTTTTCCCATCCGTCAAACCGGTCGATGTAATCAGTTCACCATTCCAAATGACCAATTGAGGCACATGATTTGCACAGCCGTGGAAGGTGAACATCTCACATCTGCGGAGATGCTCAGTCATCCAGCTCATGGTTGTCCCCAAAGTGCTTCTTCCAAAAGGCAACTGGTTTTTCTTCTTGTTGTTGTTGTTGTTTTCCCCATGAAAACATTTTGCTTCTCATCCAAGAAGCTTCTTTGGTAACTAAGACATTTCCTGACAATTGGAACCAATTTATCAGGGAGAACGCCTTGTCTCCAGAAGTTGTGACTGCTCCATCACTGGAGGTTTTCAAGAAGAGATTGTTTGAAAAAGGGGATATAGGGTCTCCTGCTCAAGCAGGGGGTTGGACTAGATGACCTCCGAGGACCCTTCCAATTCTGTTCTTCTGTTTTTTATTCTGTACAAGGCTGCCAAGAACACTAGATTAAAGTTGCCAAGAACTATTTTAAACACAAAGAGTTTCCAAACACAAACTAAGAGAGTCTGAACGTCCACAAGGCTTGAGTGCAAAAACTTCTTTGCTTCCTGCAAAGAGCTCCGGTTTCTCAGCTGGCTTTTATCTCTGAAGGGAGGGGCCATTACCTTGCAGCCTTACTCCCAAGTCTCCCTTTCCTTCGAGCAGTCCTGTGTGCATGAGCACTGGGCACAGGCTCCTCGGGAACCTCCTCATCACTGCTGCCAGCCTCCACAATCTCCGAAGGCAGCACTCCACTCCCCGATGGTCCTGGCCCCATCCCTGCATCACACGCAGGCCCCTCATCTGAGTCCTCGCTCTCCGAGACCTCAGCCATCCTCACCTGCTGCCGGCGAACCACAACACCAGCTCTGTTCCGATTGAAGCTTCTTGGATGAGGAGCAAGATGTTTTCAAAGGAAATAAACCAAGGAAATCCAGTTTCCTTTTGGAAGCTGAACTTCCTTTAGCTCTTCCGAGCTATTCTATCTCCTCCTTCCAATGTTGAATGTTCGGAAATTTAGCTTCCTAAATTTTCAGAAGGATAGAGTTGTAATTGCAGGAATGTTCCAATCTCGGATGGCAAACCTCAGATAAAGAATGTTTCCAAGCAAATACAACTCAGGCAAACAACATCCCTCATCTAAAGGAGGATCAGAGAGAGGAAGTGAACATATGTTAGACTTTAACTAGAGATAATTAATTGTGTTAATTACTATGCTAAACAGTAATGAAAGTTAAGCAGTAACCAAAGTTAACCAGTGATGGAGGATAACTAAAAATGGGTATAAATGCAAGACTAGACTCCAACAAAGATCATCATGATTCAGTTGTTCATGATCAAACAACTCGACTGCCTCGTCATTACAACAGGGATGTTCTTCCAAAGGACTGTTTCTGACCCATGAGATTGAATTCTTGGTTGAGAAGATAATAAGTTTCCTTTCTCGTTTCTGCAAGGGCCTTAAAGTCTACTTTTCTTCCTTTCTCCCTTTAGCTGCCTATCCTGCTGCCTATGGTCAGATAGGCCAAGCCTTTCCACAGCCACCTCCCATGATACCACAGCAACAGAGAGAAGGTGAGTTTTCTGACCCGGGCTTCCCGAGATCATGAAGCCGACTCCTCGTCCCGATAAAAAACCCCTTTTATTTAGTTTAAAGGGAATTCCTCTCCAGCAAAGTCCCAGCAAATGGTCTTTCATGAGGTTTCACGACGACAGACCTTTATCGGGGCTTGGAGAGTTGCCAGGCCGATAGCTTCCAAACGCCACGCTGTAGCAGCAATGACTTGGCAAGAAGTCAGGAACAAACCTTCACCCTCATGAATTGAACTAACTGTCTCCTGCGAAGCCCCACTCCCCTTTCGCTCCTCTTTATTCCCTATGGGAGGGGCCGTTCACTGTCCACTTGAGCCTGTACTCCCGAGTGGATCCTTGTTCCTTAGCTGTTCCCTTCCCCTGGCAGCTCTGTGCATGCACACACTGGGAATAGGCTCCAGCTATTCTTCTTCCCCACTGATCTCCAACTCCAAAGGCAACTGATAATTGTCGGGCGGCCCTGGCCCCATCTCTGCCTTCAACACAGAGCCTTCGTCAGAACCTTCTCCCGACTCCAGGTCTGGCCCATGTTCCTCCCCAACCTCCTCACTTACCGAGTCTGTCGCCAGCTTCGTTGGCTGTTGGTGGGCCACAACAATGAGTCTTTGAGAGGCTGAAATGCTGAAATGACCGTGGACTGGGTGTGGCCAACTCAATATCACTCACATTGAGGCGCGCATCTGCTCGCCTGGCCTCTCATGACTGTGGGGATGCTGCAACTGTCGTAAGTGTGAATAGATACAGCAGATAATAGAGATTGGTAGGTAGGTAGGTAAGTAGGTTGGTAGATATAGACAAAGACAGACAGATACAATAGATGGATGGATGGATGGATGGATGGATGGATGGATGGATGGATGGATGGATGGACAGACGGACAGACAGAGATAGACAGATGAGAGAGAGATTAGAGAGATAGGTTGATCAATAGATCAATAGATGATAGATACAGTGAGGGGTGGGATTCTACCAGTTCGCACCTATTCACTAGAACCGGTTGTTAACATTCTAAGCAGTTTGGAGAACCGGTTGTCAGAAGAAATTACTGGGCTAATCCTGTAAGGAAGGCAGGAAGAAAACATTCTGGTGTTGCTTACAGAAACTGCCTCTCCGTTAACCCTTATTACATTCTTGGCTGGACTAGACTTCCTGTCTCTGGAACTTCTCTGGAGTTTTTTTCCCCTCCTTTGCTGGTACTTTGCTTGTGTGGAGTGACCATTCAAAGTTACAATGGCACTGAAAAAAAGTGACTTATGACCATTTTTCACACTTACGACAGTTGCAGCATCCCCACAGTCATGAGAGGCCAGGCGAGCAGATGCGCGCCTCAATGTGAGTGATATTGAGTTGGCCACACCCAGCCAATAACATGACCACCAAGCCATGTCCACCCAGTCACATGACCACCAAGCCACGCCCACCACCTAAGCCATGCCCACAGAACCGGTTGTTAAAATTTTGGAATCCCACCCCTGGATACAGTAGATCGATAAAGCAGATAGATAAGAGAGAGAGAGAGAGAGAGAGATGATAGATAGGTAGATATCATCGGTCACTTTTTTCAGTGCTGTTGTAGCTTCAGACAGTTGCTAAATGAACGATTGCAAGTCGAGGACTATCTATGATTGAGAAAAGAACAAACTGCCATGTTTTTCAACTTGATATTCACCAAATGTCTTCGTTTATCTGCCTTCTGTTTACAGCCACTGGTGTCAAAAGCCAGGAACTTTAAGATACGATGAAAAGGAGGGGGTGGGGAAATAGGCTTAATCTTCGTGTTCTTGAACTTTATAGATGTCATGTACATCTTGGGAGGGTTTCTGACTTACAATAGAGACTCAACAACACGCTCTAAAGACAGAGGCCTTGTTTTTCAAGAGGATTTTTTAATGCATAATTCCAGGACAACATGCTGAAAAGAGCCAAGTTCAAAAGTTCCACTGCTTATTTGATCCACTTTTATCCAAATGTGTACTTTTTTTTCCCCTCTATGGTGGAATTTTTCTTTATCCCTGAGACTTTTTATGACACCAATTTAGAGAGCCCGCCGCTCTTCGCCTCCTCTGGCAGCCCTCTCACAGTGGATCACGTGAGCCTTGAGAAAAGCCACTGGCTGGAGGCTTCCTGGAGGCTTCGACCCCGTGGTGGAAACCATCCTTTTAACATTTGTTCTCCCCTCTTCTATTTTGACTTATATGGATGCCACTGCTGGGCAAACCAGCTTTGAACTGTAATTCAATTTTCCTTGAAGCCTAGTAAGAAAATTAATCTAACCCATGAAAGCTTGCTTTTTTTTTTTCAGGTATCTTCCTTCATACCTCCAGTCCTAATATCTCTATCTGTCTGTCTGTCTGTCTGTCTGATTATCTGATTATCTGTCCATCCATCTCCATTTATATCATATCTATTTATCTATCCATCCATCCATCCATCCATCTGTATTATCTATCAATCCCTCTATCGATCCCTCTATCATCTCTCTCTCCTTCCATCCATCCATCCATCTGTACCTATCTATCCAACTATCCAGCTATCTATCTATCTAATCTGTTTGTCTGTCCTATCTATCTATCTATCTATCTATCTATCTATCTATTCATCCATCCATCCATTCATCTATATCCATCTATTTTTACACACACACACACACATTCATAACACACACACACATCTAATCATCTATCAATCATTTTATACATCCATCTATCTGAATCACCTCAAGGTGAGATGGATGGCAAATAAATTTAATAAATCTAATAAATAAATAAACAAACAAATATCTTACCCATCCATTATCTATCTATCTATCTATCTATCTATCTATCTATCTATCTATCTATC